AGGGGACATCCATGATTTTGACTTCATGACGAAGGATATTGTATCCACCAGTAACATACAATACTTGGATTTTAACTTCACGACGAAGGATATCCAATTCAAGGCTCAACTTTACAACAAAGGGGCCATCCACTATTTTAACTTCACGATGAATGATATCCAATTCAAGGCTCAACTTCACAACGAATGGGTCATCCACGATTTCAACTCCACGATGGAGGATATCGTGCCCACAACCAACATACAATACTTGGATTTCAACTTCACGACGAAGGATATCCAATTCAAGGCTCAACTTCACAACGAAGGGGCCATCCACGATTTCAACTTCATGACGAAGGATATCGTGCATACAAGCAGCAATGCAACCCTTGGATTTCAACTTCACGACGAAGGATATCCAATTTAAGGCTCAACTTCACAATGAATGGGCCATCCAAGATTTCAACTTCACGACGAAGGATATCGTGCCCACAAGCAATATCCATCTCTAGATTGGATTTCAACTTCACGATGAAGGATAACCAACTCAAGGAAGGAGTGTCTATCAACAAACAACTCTTCAGTTTCATTCAGAGTCAATTTCAACTTCACGGCGAATGATATTGGACTCGAAACAACGAACAAGATTGGATTTCAACTTCATGATGAAGGATATCTAATTCAAAGCTCAACTTCACAACAAAGGAGCCATCTACGATTTTAACTTTAAGACGAAAGATATCGTACCCAAAAGATTGACCCAATTTCACGACGAAGGAGTTATATGTCAACACCGAAGTCTTCAGGTCAAGTTTCATCTTCACGACGAAGTATCTTGAGCTAGAAAATGATTCAGAGTCCACTTTCCAAAAAGCTTTGAGTTCGATTTCAACTTCACGACCAAGGATATCGTGCTTAGAAGTTTCCAGTTCAGCTCAACCTCACGACGAGAGAGTCATTTCGTCATTTAATCCAAATATAGGATTTCAACTCTACGACAGAAGACATTCGATATGGACGAAATTTGTGTCTTTTAATCTTTGCTCTATTTTCGTTACACGATAATGAGCAAAGAGGCAGCTGAAGACACCTAATTTAGTCTCTTTGATTAATATTATATATTATATTACAAACTATATTACATAATATACATATTTACATCTATTTTATTTTTGAGTCAGGCCCAAAACCAGATTACACGTAGCCCAGCAAATCCAGTCGCCCAGAACCATTACAACCCAACAGCACGCGTAGCCCGGATCCAAGTCCTCAACCCAAAGCCAACTTGGAGACTCGAAACACACGTGACCCGCTGGAACGCCCGAGCTGGTTCAGACCCGATGAAAGCTAGGGTTTTCCAACCCTAGCCCCAATCTCTTATGCGCCGCAACTTCTGCGCCGCAATAGCCCCCGAGGACTCTTCATGCTCCATGCCTCTCCACCGGTCGATTTTCACAGCACCAACGTATCACCACTAACAAACAAGAACAAACCACAATATTAGTATTTTACTAGGAATCGAACACCAAAAAATAAAGGTTCTTGAGCACTATAAAATCATATTTGAATCACGTACAAAAGACACGATTACTAGGCAAAATCACACGAATACACATAGAGATTACGCACAAAAATCATACGAAAAATCGAAGAAGGTCGAGCATTTGTAAGAGTTTCGAAAAGAAATAAAAAGGTAAAATTATTTACCTTGTTCGCTTCATTCTCCTTGCATGTTTTTTTCGTTTCCAATTCGAAATACACCGAATGGCCGATGAACATAAAGGGGAAACCGAGATATTCTCTCTTAGATCTACGGTTCCCCGAGGCTCAATTTTGAAAAATACTTCAATTTTTGAAAAGTATGGACAAAGAGCTTTTAAAAAATCAAAATTTTTAGTTGGTCACCGCCGATGACCGACGGCCGGCGAGGTGGTGACCCGCCAGAATCTGGAAAACTGCGGTGGTGTTCTTCAAATAAAGAACACCCCCAAGAATGATTGAGAGAAAAAAAAAGGGGATAGAAGGCATGGAAAACGACCACTCCATTCTCTTCTCCCGACAATGAGACCTCAACAACCATGGTAAGGGTTCGAAGAGACCCCATCATGATGGCCAAAGATTTTAGAGGGCCCGAATTTGTTACATATGTGGAGATAAAGAACCATTGTTTCGTGTGGCTCGAACGCGAAGTGCTTGGGCGAACTGATCACCAACATTGATGATGTGGATGGATTGCTTGCTGGATCTAGGGCTACCTGTTGTTCATGACTCGTGCAAGTCACACAAGTTGAGGAAAGGTGAAGGCAGGAGCACTCACGCCAAAGAAGGGAAATGCACAATTTGGTTTTATGGATTTTTCTAGGTAAATTACACCCAAAGCCACTAATGTTTATAGATTTCAACTTTTAGTCTATAAACTTTACCCTGAATTCAATCTAACCCTAATGTAATTTTATGATTTGATATAATATTTTTGTCTTTTCACATGTTTTTTATTTCGTTTATTTTATTACTTTTAAAATATCAATTTTCCCCCTTTGATTTATTTAATATTTAATTATTATTTCTTATATAATATTTTTGACTTTTTTTAGAGAACTTCCAATCAATTAGAGGTAAGTAATTGGAATCGTTTTTTAATTTTAATTTTAATTTTAATTTTCGCAATTAAGACAACTGATAAATTAATTGGTACCGAAAGGGCAGTACAAGGGTGCTAATCCTTCCTTGACTGTAACCGACTCCTGAACCCGACACATTTTTGGTAAAACGCAGATCAAGTAAGATAGTGTCTGACCTACCTAAATGTTTTTAAAATGGTCGGTGGCGACTCTAACACATTCATTCAAGTCGAAGCCCAATTCCGGGCCCAACTGAAAGACGGTCACGGCAACGGTTAAGATAAATGTTAGTGGTATGTCGGTTTTATGTCACTGAGGTTAATGGCTGCTAATGGGTGAGCGACAATTTTGTTATAAATCAATAACGTTAGTGATTAATTTATAACTTTTGAAAGTTTAGTGGGGAAAATAAAAATTTACTCAAACTTTAGTGATTATTTGTATAGTTTACCCTTACTTTATCGATATAGTACCAAAAGTAAAAGCATTTCTTAATGATAATGACTAAAATGATTTTTTTATGATTTGAATGATCAAAGTACAAATACCCTAAAAACTAATGACCATTAACATAATTTACCAAAAACAATTGAAATTAAAATTTAAAAAATACAATATTTTTCTCATTATTTTATTTTAAGTGCTGCAATCCCTCGTATAACTTAAAAGACTTTAATGCTTTTCTTTCTAGATTTTTTAAAAGATACGATTAGATCTCTCCCTCAAGCCATTCTTAGTTGTATTGTCGTATTTTAAATGGCCAAATTCATCACTAATGCCATCGGAGGAGTAGAAAGAAAAAAGAGTAAAGAGTATTATAACTAAAGAAAATATTTAAAGTTACGATGGCTGCATGACGAATTTAAAAAGGTAGATGGAAGTATTCGTCTCTAAAATTTGTAAATTTGTAAATTTTTTTATTATATTTTTAATTAATAATTTACTTTTATCATCTAAAATTTTATATGTAGATATATTTTTAAAATTTATCTTTTAATATAAAATTTTACATCCTTCTTAAAATAAAAAAAATGAATTATCTTTTTTTGAAATACGGTGGAAGGGAAGATGCGATGGTCAAGAATGTTGTGGTGGAAAAGGTACATGGGGGATGTGTTGGACACTAGAAAAAGTCTCATAATAAATTTGAGTTAATATGATGTTTATTCCAAGAGAAGAAACAACGTACGTCAAAATAATTAAGTGAGATTTGATATGAGAACCAAAAAGAAGACTGAAAAAAAAAAAAGAGAAACACGTTTTCAATGCAATAAATTTTAATTTTTATATTTGTATTATTACGTAAAAAATTTATTTTAATTGGTAAATCAATTAATTAAATATTAATTAAGTTTGTTATTAAAAATATTTTTAAAAATATTAATAGTAATATATTTAATGAATGCATTTATCTTTTTGTATTTTTATATAATTTTCAAATAAAATAAATTAAAATTATTAATTTAAAGATCAAACCCATATTTGTATCACTTTTATTCTTTTTCATTCAATCTAGAATTATTTTTAAACATTTTTATATAAATTATTTCTTTTATAAGTGTGAAAAAACCTAATTATTTATTAAATTTAATATTTTCTTTCACTTGTATCATAATATAATATAATATAATATAATATAATATAATATATAATGAATTAAATTCCAACCAAGTTTTATTTATAACCTGGATACAAACAACAAACAAGTTGTAATTTTATTAATAAAATAATATAAGACTATTGTATAATATCATAAAAATATTAGGGTAAATTTCGTGTATAGCACCTAAACTATCTATTTTAATATGTCTTAGTATCTAAACTTTTAATTTTTCAAAATCATTCTTAAAGCCACAATTAAAAACTTTATTTTTTTTTCTTTTAGTATACCATTCAAAATTTAAGATTATGTTTTTAAAAGATTAAAAATCTAGGTATTAAAACAGACTAAAATCAATAGATTAAGTACTAAGCACGTTAAATTTTTAACGTAGGGTACTAAAATGAAATGAAAACTAAACGTTAAATATAATTTTAAAAAAAATTAAAAGTTTAAATACTAAAATATATATAAAAACTGATAGTTGAGATACTAATTGCATAGTTTACCCTAAAAATTACTACACCATATATATGTGTGTTCAATATTGCACCATATAAATTAGAAGACCTGTAGATATCATATCATATCCTATCCTCCGTTTATTGCATTTATAATATATTATAATAACATTATTGTACCATATCTGCCATAATATATTTATATATACTAGCATATCTTCTTCCTTTATATTATATATATATATATACACACATCTACTCTATCAATATATAAATATATACCAATTATAAAGGACGAAGCGAAGTATCGCATTCGCATACATGATGGAAAGCAATGAAGAAAATTATTTTGAACAGGTATTACTGCATTCTCAAAAAGGATAAGAACAATCCCAAGAGTCCACCAGTTTCCATCTCTTTCTACTTCGCCCATTAACTCAACTAAATCCCTGTTTTCTCCCGTGATTCCAGCTCCGAATTCCGATTCCGGTACTCATATTTTCATTCTCGCATCCTCATTTTAGTTTTGATTGTTTTTCTTATTGGTTGTTTGCGTGTTCTTCTTTTATTTGTTAATTTCATGATATATCATTTCTTTCTTGGCTTCCCGCGTTGATGTCTCTGTTGAATGCGTCTTTTCATTTTATTCTGCTGCGGATTGGATAAGTTGCTTTAATTTGATGCAAAAGAGAATAATTGATCACGATTAGGGTTACGATAAATAGTCGTTCGTATTTACTTCTGCAAGATGCAATGGCTGCGGACACACACAAGCTTACCGCGTTGTACCAGTTTTGTGTTTCCATATTCCTGGTCCTACTCAGTCCTTGAAAAATAACAGAATTCTGAATCTTTGATGTATCCTTGTATGCTATTTAGATTGAAACTTATTTTCCTTGAGCATTGACATTGATGGAGCATTTTTTATGTAAATAAATTAAAAGTATTGCGTGTCTTGGCATGTTTAATATCCCTCAACTTTGAAGGGCTTCCTTTTTTTTCCCTTCTAAATCCACTACTCTTCTGAATATCATCTGTTTTCAAGAATGAAACACATTACATGTACTTTACTGCAATTCCGCAATGCGGCCTCGAAGATGGCTTTGAGGATTTGCCCATCCCAAATTCAAGTCCGTACTGCTTGCTCTCTTTTGACTGCATATTCTGTACCTTTTCTGGTTTTCTCATCATATGCCTATCCCCCTCTTGCCCCTATTCTCGTCCTTTTAGATGGTTGGGATGCTAATATTATAGACTTTTATGATTTTTTTTATTATTTTCTTTCATATATGGTGAACAGGGTCTTCATACTTTTTTATAGCTTAGAGGGGAATGCAGAGTGGTGCAAGCTACGTTTGAATTTCTGGCGTATTGTAATTTTTAAAATATCAATTGTACTTGGAACATATAATTTTTCCTTTTTAAATCTTTTTCTGATGTTAATTAAATTGTTTTATGTCTTATTCAGTATGAAGAACAAGTGGATTTCGGAATCAAAGAGGCAACAGAAATTTTAGTTTCTTGGATTGATTGGTTAAGGAACGTGCTCTGTTACTGTTTTCTGAAACGGAAGTTATGGAGAAAAAATCTTACCAGAATCTGACTGAGCTGCTGATAAAGGAATATGTACTAGCAGATTCCTTCATCCCATACACATCAATTATATGTGGGATTTGTGCATGCAAAATGGTATGTTTCCTAATCAATTTTGTGATCTGCTGTTCTGATTGAAAATAATTCATTTGGATTAGAATGATGATTTGCAGCTACATGAAGCTAATTCTTTTATGCTTTTTCTATGGTGATGATTACCTTTCATTGAGATTTTGCTTTTTTTTCCCCCGTTTTCACTGTTTCTGTTTAAGAATTCTTTATTTCCCTTTAAATAACTTTCTTCTTTCTCTTCTTCCCAATTTTTGTTTCTGATTCTTTTCCAGGTCTATGATCTTACTCAATCGTTTAGCAGTGTTTACTTTAAGAGCTATTCTAGCTTATCAAAAGTCCAACGCACTGAATGGAGCAACCGGTGACTTATATTTGTAGTTAGCTTGAACTGGCTATTACTATCTGCTTTTATCTACACAGAATTAATGTCTGGATCGTTCATGCAGGGCCATATCAACCTTTCATGCCATTTTCATAGCAGCTATGTCCTTATACTTAGTGTTTTGGTCAAATCTCTATTCTGACAACCAATATGCTGGTCTGGTTACTTTCCGCAGTTCTTCACTGTCTACATTCAGTTTGGGGGTGAGGATATTTTTTCTCTTTCATCTTCCATGGAATGTTTTTGAATTGAGATTATATTTGATCATTAATGTATGGTCTTTTATGCTCGACTTATAATATTGGATGTTAGTAAGAAGATGATCTGTCTCCCTTTAGTAATGTCATCATGATCGTTCATTCATGCACTATGGTACATAAATGTCTCCTGAATGGTTTATTTTTAGCATATTTACTGTATCCTACAGAAGAAGCAATGAAGTGTTAAGTTTCTTTATTGAATATTTAAATTTCCGGTTAATGAATAAAATTTACTTAATAAGTTCAATTGATGCGGGTGATATTACCATTCATTCAACAAACTTCTTCGAATTGCTGTTGATTTCTCATGCAGATATTGACCTCTCATTTTCCAGGGTCAGCAATGAAATATCATACGTTTATCTATGTAACGTGCATATCCTTGGTCTTTTTGCAAGGACATTTTTTTTTTAATGTGGCTAAAGTTCTCAGCCAGTTGGTTTACTGGCCCCAACAGAATGCAACATATATCCTTAGCGAAAACTTTTTTCCTTGTAAAAAACGCAACAAAATTGTGGTGCAAAAATATGCATTAAAATTGACACCTTTCTGCAAAATTTTAACATACTGAACTTTAAAGCTTAATACAAGCATTTCTTGTACTCATGGTCAAACTTTTTCTTTGGAATTTTATGGTAAGCTGGGTTTAGTATTCTTAGGGATTTTCTAAGCATTGGTTCAATGGATCAGGATCCCATCCATTATTATTTATCTATTATTTTTCAATACATGCATCATTACATTCACATGAGCAGGACTCATTTATTATTTGTGAAAGTCATACTTGTGATTATGATTAATCATGCAATGGAACATAATGATTTGATAAGTGATGAAGGGGAGTCAGACCCGGGTTGAATTCACCTCTGATGTGAAGACTACTCATTACAATAAATATCCCCCTTGTCACATGTAGCTATCGTACAACAACCATTTTCACCCTGATTTGGATTTCGCTAGTAAAAGCTCAGTCTCCGACACTATCAAATGTAAAATCTCATCATGCGTCTCTCTGTGATCTTTCATGGCCACGAGGCATGGTCTTCTTACTGAATAAGTAATCACAACTGCTTGTTCTCTGTAACCTTATATCCTCTATCTTCTAAAAATGGAGTAACTTTTGGTGTTGGGTTAGGTCAATACATGCCTGTTTCACTTGTAGTTGATCAGTGGTTTGGCTATTATGTTTCTTGAATCATCTAGCAGTTTAAATGAGTAAAATTAGTTCGATCCCTATGCTTGGAGCATGTCAAGTTGGAACAGCTGAACTTAGGGAGCGTATCTGTCAAATTAAGCCTTGTAGCATAGTATCTTGATTTTCATTAGTATAATAAAATTCCAAGAAAACTTGACTGATAGCTCTTATTCTATTGAAACTTGCCAATACATTATGCTAGGTAGCAATATCCGTATATCTTGATAGGAGGAAATATTTACATGGGTTTGTCTTAGGATTTGGTTGGAATAAACTTTTGCTTTCCTTCGTTTTGATAGGGCTACTAGAAAGCCCTTGTACTTCAATTTTTACGTAAGCTTTTATGAGCCCTTATCTGAAAAATAGATAAGATAGGGGCTTACATGAAAAATATGGAAAAAATAAATAAAAGGTTTTTTAGTTAGTATGTTAGCTTTTTTATAGTGCAGAACAATGAGCTAACAAATGAATGTTTATATAATTAATAAATACAACCAGAAAAGCTGCAAATGTTACGACACTGTTCACCAACCAAAGACCAAGTAACACAGTGCCCATTAAGTCAGGTTTTTTAATGTGGCTGGAAATAGTCGTAGGGCCCTTGATTGTGCAAAAGGGAAACATATTTCTGTGAATTATCTTTCAGTATCTTTCATTTTGTCTCATCATTTCTCTTGGTTTATATTTTTTGAGAATTTTTTTGACAGGCATCCGTTGGTTACTTTCTTGCTGACTTGGGGATGATCATTTGGTTTTACCCTTCTCTCGGTGGAATGGAATATGCAAGTATCTTACTGTTTGATCATAGTCTTGCTATGCTTTTTCTTCTTTGTATTGAAGTCCAGTTCATGAGCCTGATTTTCAATTTGATCCTGATGGAAGGCAACCTAAACTTTTTGTAATTCAGGTCCTTCATCATCTTCTGTCACTAATAGCTGTAGCATATTCTATGCTGATTGGGGAGGGGCAGCTTTACACCTTCATGGTACTCATTTCTGAGACTACAACCCCTGGGATCAACTTGAGATGGTGAAAATTACATTCCTGTATGTTGATTGTAAAATGCATTTTACTTTTGAGTGTATGTTATGGATATTCTGGGTTCATATAGGTATCTTGACACAGTTGGAATGAAGAGAACCAGAGCTTACTTAATCAACGGAGTTGTAATATTTGTTGCTTGGCTGGTGAGTGATATAAGTTAATTGCTCTCGGATTCTTCACTGTGGATTATGTCCTTTGCACCAATTATCTTACTGTTTCATGTAATAATGTTGGATGCTTTTGCCAGGTTGCTCGAATACTCTTGTTTATGTATCTATTTTACCATGTCTACATGCATTACGATGAGGTAAATTTTTCCTGCAAAACTTGTGGTAGGAATAAATAAATGATTATGTTAGAATTGTTTTTGGTTAATAGGAGTTAAAGAGTTAAGGTGGGGTTTGTGGGGGGAAACAGGTGAAGCAGGTTCAGAGCTATGGACTGGTGTTAATATTTGTGGTGCCTTGGGTCCTGTCGGTTATGAACTTAATCTGGTTTGCGAAGATTATAAGGGGATTAAGGAAGACATTAGCAAAGAGGCACTGAGGAAGAGGGAAACTGTTGGACGGATGGGCAAAAGAAATCATTGTATTGGATTAGGCTTGGCTAAATATCCTCGTCTTCCACATTGTGATTATAATGTGTAAATGGGTGTAACAGATGAGATCATGATTGTAATTTTGAAGCAGTGATTTCAAACTAAATTCTGTGTAAACATGATGAAGTTGATTGAATTAATAATTAATTATATGATAAATATTTATTTCAGTAATTTCTTTCTGGATTGAAGTGGAATGAAAGACAAACAATCCATAACCAACTACACATTTGGAAAACTCAACTAAAATCTATAAAATCGTAATCATTATCCTGTAATGGTGTTTTACAACATATCAGAAGATGCAATACTCCCTGAATCAGGGTTGGGATTTTGGACATCAATAACATCGGAATCCAAAGCCTTGGATTCGACATTAACTCGCCCATCAGCCGGAAAAACGATTTCGGGATAGCGATGATCATCGCTGCAGTCGTTCTTCAATAACTCAGCATCAGCAGATTCTTGAAGCTCCAATGCAAATCCAAGCCTTTCCATTACATCATTCATCGATGGCCGCTGCACTCCCATGTCTTGTATGCAACTCTCAGCAATTTCAACAAACACCTTCAAGCACTCTGGAGCTATCTTTCCCTTCAGCTTTGGATCAATGGCTAGATGAAGAGTCCCATCAGCAATGCATTTTTTAACCCAATGTGCTAAGTTCATTTGCTCCATTGACAATCTCTTGTCCAAAGCTTTTCTTGCGCATAAAGCTTCGAATAGTACTACCCCAAATGAGTATACATCTGATTTCTCGGTTAATCGATGACCGCGAGCGTATTCGGGATCCAAGTATCCCCATGTGCCCTTTACGCCAGTATTGACCATGTCAATCTTGTGATCCAGTTTCGACAAGCCGAAATCCGAAACTTTTGCAGTGAACTTATTGTCTAGGAGGATATTGCTGGTCTTAACGTCACGGTGAATCACAGTATGTTTCACTTCTGTATGAAGGTAGTTCAATCCAATTGCAGCCCCATGACATATCCCGAGCCTCTGCTTCCATGTTAGAGAATCGTTGGTAGTGTCATAAATGTGATCGCGGAGAGTTCCATTGATCATGTAATCGTACACAAGCATCATCTCGTTATCGTCGTTGCAATATCCGATCAGAGAGACCAAGTGAATGTGCCGAAGCTGGGATAGTATCTCGATCTCGGTCGTGAACTCTCGTGCACCTTGTTTCGACTCCGGATTCAAACGTTTGATGGCCACTATTGTTTTGCCATTGTCCAGGAAGCCTTTGTATACATTTCCGAAACCGCCTACCCCGATAATCAATGCTTCATGGAAGTCACTAGTGGCAGCTTTGATCTCATCTAGCGAAAACCGACGGCACATTTCATCAGGAAATGATGAGGTTTTCGCCCCGGCCGATGATTTCCCTTTGTAACGATCCACCAAGCAGCAAAAACAGGATGGTTTGTGTGAACCATACTGCTTCATCTTCTATGTCGCCAAACGCTGAAAACATAATAACACAAGTACAATCAACAAGCCTAGTCCACCAAAACCGATTGGAAAAAGCAATTTCCTCTTTAAGTTCGACTTATCTGCTTTCAGACTTGTTCGCTCAGTGCCTGCTGTTGGTCGATTGGGCAAGGAATTCGGTCGAGCAAGATTGCCACCGGAGTTATTCAACTTGAAGACTTCAAGTCCATTCAATATAGCATCTGTATATCCACTAAAATCTTCATTAGGATGCAAAGCTATAAAGAGGGAATGCTCACTCTTATCACTAACGTTTCCAATCATAACCACATAGTCCATGTAGGTCGGTTTCCCATTACCGCCCGCTTCTTCGATCACGGAGAATGCAGCATCTGCCGTCTTGTTATCTATAAAGATCCGAAACCGCCTATCGCTCATCTCTTCCACCAACGGATCAAATTCGCAGAAATGGAGTCGGACTAGGTACCTAAATCCGGAATCAACTGGTAAAATCCATGTCAAATTGTACAACAAGTTCTCTGTTCCGTTATTTCCCATGGATCGAGCTGTTGTATACACATTATTAGGAGCTGCATATTCAGGTATCTTATCATATTCGAGTTTAATACTTGTATTACTAGGAACAACACCACCTTGCACCAGATAATCTATGTCGTTATACCAGTTCCGATACATGCCTGTATCATTTGCGGCTGAGATCGATGGACCACCGACATTTAACCGATGCACATTCTGGAGTGCAGTATAGTTATCGATCGAGAAACGGGCATTCTGACCTATGATAGGAACTCCATGATGATCGGAACTCGGGTGGTAGTAGAGATTAGTAGGCATCGAAACAATCTCGATTCCATTGACAAAAGCATAAACATCGACTGCAGATGGAGTAAAAGTTACATTAAGAGTTTGATCGTGCATCAAGTTAACACAAATCTCTTTAATCGACGAGGCTTGTCTCGAACGATCGGACGGAAGGGAAGCGGTGAAGTTATCGAGCAACGTATAGGGTCCTACCTTGACGGAGAAGAAATAGATAGAGGTGTCAAAGCCATGATATCGAGCAGGGTCGAAATAGAGCCTTATAAATTTTTGACCTGCAGAGACTGGAAACATGTAGGTGAATTCGGATTTGGATATTCTGGCAGTCATGTAAGGGACACGATGGAAAGAGCTGTTGGGGGTTCGGACACTAGCCGATACCGATTTGCTACCGGATTCGTCGATGACGGCAAACGGAGAGGCCTTATCGCCAGTCCATCGACGACCGTCCGGTGCCGCATAGTTGGCTGAAGTTGAAGAACCACAATCTAGAGCAATATTCTCAATTGGGGTGTAAATTTGTGCAGAAGAAAGTGTTTGCTGGAGCAAAAACAAGAAGAACAACAACATTAGTAGTAATTTAGGATGAAGAAGGTAATATTTTTCATGAAATGTTGGAGCTGGGGAACATTAGTAGTAATTTAGATATGCTTTATGGTCAACAATTTAAATAAATTGCAATAATTATAAGCACGATGCAATTGATAATAATCTTATCACTTTAATTTAAATTATTGGAAACCATATATAAATTAGTATGAAAGAAGAGGTAGTGCCATTATTTTATCTTCAAAATGATGCTTTCGTTGGTCCATTACTAACATGATGATTAGGTCCAACATCTCTTTCTTACCATATATAAAATTAATCAATTATTTATTATCAAAATTTTATATTCATCATCCACTTTTAGAATTATATTTATTATAATAAATGTGATTTTTAAAGGTAATGTATTGATATAGAAGATGATGAAGTAAATTTCATAGTATTACAATTTTTGGTATATATTAAAACCTGGGTTAATGCTTAATTTATAGTCCAACCCCCAGTGAAATATTTTGGTTTGTTTAATTACAGGCTGCAGCATGTGGTAAAGAATATATGGGAAAATGTTGGTCTTCCTCGATTCTCTCATCACAACATCTTTTCGTTGAAATAAAGAGTAAAAGTTTGGACATTGGAATTCTTTATCATTTGCTATATTATTGTTGGTAAACTACGTCAATGATCACTAATGTTTAAGTTAGTGTTCGTTCTCACCATTAATGTTTAAAAAGGTACAAATCGATCGTTAATGTTATCATTTGTTAGTTAATAACCGTTAATAGGCGTGAAAAAAAAAGTTGGACAAGACCATTTAACAGGCTTTTCTTCTTCTTCAACCCAACCCCAATTTTTTTTTTTTTTTGCCTTAGTCTTCTAATCTTCTACATCGATCCTGCTTGGTGTTGTTGCTTAAAGCAAAGGCTTTATTTGTTTTGAATTTTTCTTTTTCTCACTTGTGTTCTTCAACGTTCCTTCATAGAACTATTTACTTACTATATATTTTTACATATGATTTCACCATCTCCTTTGTTTTCTCAATTCTAGGTTCCTTTCTTGCTTAGTCAAACTCCACACACTCATTTTCGCCCGGAGTTATTTATATATATATATATTTATTATATATATATAGAATATAGTTTGTGAAAATGTTTTTTGACGAAATATAATATATAATTTTCAGAAAATGATTTTCAAAATTTTATATATTATATAGTTTTTGAAAACATTTTTAAAATATATATAATATATAGTTTTGAAAATATTTATATATTATATAGTTTTTAAAACAATTTTGAAAACTTATATAATATATAGTTTTTTAAAACATTTTTGAGAAATTATATAATACATCGTTTTAAAAATATTTTTGAAAAAATTATATAATATATAGTTTTAAAAACATTTTTGAAAAATTATATAATATATAGTTTTAAAAAACATTTTTAAAAAATTATATAATATATAGTTTTAGAAATATTTTTTGAAAACTTATATATATTTTTAAAACATTTTGAAAACTATATAATGTATAGTTTTGAAATCTTTTTTAAAAATATAATATAGTTTAAAAATATTTTTTGAAATATATATATTATATAGTATTATTATTTTTTTCTATTTACTTGTTTTATTAATTAATTAATTAATTTTTTTTCGTTTTTGTCCAAGTCCAAGAGAGTCCAGTCACGTTTGGGCCTGACCCAACCCAATCTCAGGTTAGGGTTTCTAGATGTTCAACAGGCGCCGCAAAGGAAACAGGGAGACCGAGAGCCAGTCAAGGCACGTCACAACGGCGCGAGATTTTCGGCTGGGGAAATCGGGACTGACCCATCCCGAAATCTCCAGTCAACGACGAGTGTCACCATAGTAATCGGAACCAACAGGCCACCGGTGGGTTATAAATACCCCCACCAAGCCACTGCCGGGGGGGATACAGAGCCATCGAGAACCACAGTACCAAAAACACAGTACCCAACATCACACCACAGAACAACAGTCATTAAAGCCAGACAACGAACAGAGAGCAAAAGAAACGGGGGTATCATCAAACAACAACACAGTGAGCCAGACCACCACAGTTGAACAAAATCAAAACCAAACCACAAGATCTACGACGAGAACCTCACGGTACCAAAATCACCACAACAACCCACGAAATTCAAAAAAAACCCACACAAACCTATACTTAGGGGTGTTCATTCTGTTAATTCGGTGGTCGAATCGACTGAAATACCATTTTCGAATTAACCGAACTTTTTTTTTCTTTAACCGTTAAACGAACCGAATTTTTTTTCGAAAATATTAACCGAACCGAATAAATTTCGGTTAATTTTCGAATTAACCGAAA